TTATGCTTCCTGTGACAAATTAGCATGTTCACTGTTCAGAAGACAATTGTAGCATCATTCTTGTCTTTTAAACTGATGTTTGTGATGAAAGTGATTTATCTTTTAAGATATAAACTTTTCTGATTGTAAAATAGCAAATACTGGGTGCTGTGTGAGTCCACTGTAAAGATGGGTCCTTTCATAGGCTGGTTGAGTGAAACAACTTTATATTACTCCGACGTACAGTCACCCAGAACAGTTGTGTGTTCCTTAAGCATGTTTGAGAGCAAAATCTATCTGGAAACATTTTGATGTAGTGCTTCTAGAATTATTAAAAATTGTACCCATTCTCAGTAGCAAAACATTGGTTGTTAGTATCAGCTCATTCAATAATTAGGTCAATACATGAGTATTAATTGTTTCATGTACTGTAAATTTTTTAAAAAATCATGCTAAGAAGTACACAATAGCTTTTGGGTGGATATGCCTCTGGGACATAGTCTTCTTAGATTTTTTTTAAAGCTTTCCCTAGTACTAATTCCCAGAGAAAGTTATGACATTTGCTTAATCTTGATATTTGCCTAATTGAGATGGTTTAGAGTAAGAAAGGTATGCAGACCTAAGAAGGGGAACTTTAGGAGAGAATCATTTGAGGTAAGAACTGATATGGGCACCACAAATACTCCATTAAATGAGATGGATAGTATAGGTCTTCATGATGTTTTCAGGCTGGTAAAATTCTAAGTCAGATGGAATTAAAGGAAAGGAAATCATCAGAGCTCTACGCCCTTCACACTGATTGAGAGTATTTGATAGTGATCAGTAAATAAGATTAACAGAGACAAGATAATTAAAGCTACTTATGAAATACATTATTTCAGAAATTAACAATTTTGAAAATTTCAGGTAATTGTTTAACCAGAAGGCCTTTCTTAATCATGTGTGATTGAAACTAAACCCAGAGTGAACAATGGTTGGCTACTAAGACTCATAATATACATCTTTCCACTCTTTTTCATATTCAACTACAAGTTTCAAAAGCATATCATTGCATTTGAGAATCTTTATTAGTTCTCCATTCCACTACACTAATAAGAAAATCTATGTTCATTTTAATGCTACATTTTTTTGGTTTCCAATTTTTAAAATTATCTTATGCCTTATAGAATTCACTTCAAATACCATTCTACCTTCCTTTTTCAATCTTAATACTGAAAGATACTGCAAAGAGTAAATTAGATGAAGAGAAAGTAAATATGTTTCCAGATAGTATCAGTTAAAGTTCTCCCGATCACATGTAAGAATTTTCAAAGGTTAATATATTAGTGCCTGTAGAAGTGGGCTACTTTAGCAATTCCTCTTTTCTTCAGTCATTTATGACTGAAATCATCAAAGAATGTTTAAATGTTAATAATGATAGTAAATCACATAAGTACAACTACAATGGCGATATTATTCGTGTTGAGAGTTACAATCTTCTAAGGGTCAAATTTTATCAGAAAACTATGTGAACACTTACTTTATCATAGAGTAAATGAAAACATTATAAAACTTAATTAATAACACCAAAGAGACGGTGAAAGATAAGAGCTTGTTTAAGAATGGTTAGAAATTTTGAAGGAAAAGTTATTAAACTAGGTGCTTGAAGTCACCAACCATATTAACTATTAACTAACCATATTAACTACTATGTTGAGATTTTTCACTTATTTGGTAATCAGAAGTTTTCAAATGCCAGAAACATCTCTTACCTAAGCCAGACAATAGGAGGATTATTAAGGTTAACTGCAAATTTAACATATCTGTGTATTTTTGATGATCTTGGGTTGAACAGATGTGTATCCTTTTTGGAATCACAGAAACTGTTCAAGACAATCTAGTGTAAGTCATCTCTTATTTAGGATTGGTGATTTTACCAACTTGAAGAGCTAATTCTATATCAGTCTGACTGAAAATAAAGTCAAATTATATTTATGATCTGGATATTCATCATAGGTTTTCTATTAAAACTATTTGTAAAGTGAGTACATTCATACAGGAAAGCTGTGCCATAAATCTGATTATAGCTTAACAGCAGGAATCAGTTTCACTTATTCTTATGCTTTGTTATGGTATATCTCAGATGGATAACATGTTTTCAAAATAAACACATACTAGACAAGTAAAGCCAAACATGTCATGGTGTTACTGTAGCATGCATTTCCCTTTACAACCAACCTGCCTTACTCCTGATTACAACAACCTATTCTACTCTAACTTACCTTACCTTATCAAATCATAGGCAGCCTAACCGACTCAATTTCAAATTCTCTTATTTTACCATACCTTACCTTGCCCTCAAAGCCAAGCCTAATCTGCCCTATCCTATCTTAACGTAACCTACTAAGCTATTTCAAGCTGAACTTAACTTAGCCTAACAATTCCTTGTTTTATCTGATGGGAGTAGATAATGGACAATAGGAATGCACATTATAGTAGCACCCATGTTAATGAGAAAGTGTAAGGAAGCAAACTGTTTAATTTCTATACGTGGAAATAAATACATTTTACATTGTAAGGTAAAAAGTCATTAACCATTACTTCTGGACATTAATTAAACTTATATAAACCAGTTTTGCCTGCAAGGAAGAGCATTTATAACATTGAGAAACACTCTTGAGTTTGTTTGGTTTTTGATTTTTCATTACATTTAACTGAATGGTTTGGCCTCTCATATGTGAAATGTAAACCTTTCTTCCAGTAGATGTACTGCATGCTGGCATTTTACATTTATTCAATGATTTCTTGCATATTCACAGGGTTAGTTATGTATTAGTTGCTATTACAATATTTTAATATAATCCAGACAGGCAACAGATATTGTTACACGACATTAATCCATTTATTTCTATTTAGAATACAAAATGTATTTATGACAAATTGGAATCATCTCTTCGAAGGAAATTTTTGTAACTGTATGTGAAATTTAAGGTATTTTATGTAATTCTGAAGAGACATTTCATATTTTCTGTTAATGGATGAGTGATCGATTGGTGTATGAGTCCATTTCCAAATGGATATTGTTTTATAAAAATCATCTTTTCAAATTTTGAAATGGCTGTTTGTCTAAAGAATATTATTACTGTTGATCCATGAACTTACAATAGTCTTCAATTAAAACTTAAAATAGTAATGATAACCCTTGGCATTCATTGTAAGGATATGGCATTGTTAATTAAGGTTTAATATTAATTATGATGTAGTGATATTGTGTATATACAACAGTTTGATGTTTAAACATCAACATTTTTGCCTCCATGGAAAACTCGAAGAGTCCGAGCCAAAGGCCTTATAATTGTTTTGATAGGAATTATTTTTTCCTATAAGGGATAAGGCAGTGGTGAATCCAGTAAATGGAACTAAAATGTGGAAAAAAAAAATTTGATGCCAAAACCATTTATTGCATAGCATATATTTCAGGTATATGGGAAGTGTCAGTGTATATTAAACTGTACTTGAAAATGAATCAGGTAGACTTGCCTCCTTTTCATGCTTTTCATCATGTTACAAAAAAGTAACTGAGTATTTTTTTGTTTTTGTTTTTGCATTCAAGAAAAGACCATGGGAAATATAATAATCATAATTTGTCTCCAATTGCTGGTGGCATTACATTTGATGATTAACAAAGCAATCTCTAAAAAATGAAATTATTAGCATTATGGAGAAATGAATTGGCTTATTTTATGTGCACTGAATGAGTTACCTTACCGTCCATGTTCTTTAAATTATAAAAAAAATATTACTAGTAATGATAAAAGTGTCATTTGGCACAAATGTATTGTAGCAAACATTATCACCAATACAAAATTGTTTTTATGTAATGATGCCTGTTATCCCAGTGATTGCAATAAGAGAGGAAAGTTGCAAGTCTGCCATGAGCTGAGACTGGTCCAGGCTTTGCTAACAATTCAGCTGTAAGATCTAGCCTCAGCATTTTATTAAAGTATAGGCAAGCAATTTTAGTGTACTATAAAAAAGTTTTGTAAGGCTTACATATGAGTA